AAAAAAATGGGTCAAGGTTTATGCAAAGTTCACTTGCTCGTTAAGTATGTTTTCTCCTAAAGTTTATACTACAAATCCACCTGAGTAATATATGCAAAAATTTATATGTATTTATAACATAATACATATGTGCAAACATTTAATAATGTGGGTCACCTATTTCTTGCCATCTCTTAAAAATTCTTTTGATACTACACTACTTAGTTGGCACTTGAATAGTTATTTCGCGCCGTTGGCGTTTAGACAACGTATTCAGACATAAACTCCAAGTTTTTAAGAAATTTCGTAACGTACACCAAAATGCGTCGACAAAATATAAAATGGGCTTGGAAAGTTGCAATACTCTTGACTATGTCATTGACTCTGTCTGTTTTAATCGCAAGCTGGATATCCTTGAGTTACAATAATTTAGGAGAGAGCGTAGAGAGTGGAGTTGAAGTTCCAAAGCTACCACATTTGAAATTTGAGGCTCAACAGCTATTGTCAGCAATTGATCTAAAAAAAGACTGGCATGATTACTTGGCTATGGAGCGTGATCAGAAACGAGTTGGACTCGGCGAACAAGGAAAGCGTGCTGAGCTAAAAGACCAATCACAGAAAGAATTGGAGCTGAAAATGTCTCTGGATAATGGTTTCAATGCTCTACTTTCCGACTCAATTTCCGTAAATCGTTCCCTTCCAGATATTCGCTATAAAGGGTGAGTTTGATTTTATCATTAAAATACAGTCATGTGTAAAATATTAATACCACAAAATAGGTTCCTTGACATTGGCTGCTATTACTCTATGTATACCTAACCCACCATCAACAGCCAATCAATCAGCCAACAACAGTAATTTTAATTAAATTTATGTGATATAGGGCTGCTAGCTTATCTATTTTAAAGTGTAGTTAAATAATTACTTAAACTTAACTACAGAAAATTCTGTGGAATTTTCGATATTATCATAGAATATAAGTATTTTTCTTTTAATAATAATTTTCTTAATAATTTCAAGTCAGTATAAAATCATGGGTGAGTGTAATGAACGATATTTGCATTAAGCGGAAGTGTTTTGTTTTATCTTTTAGGTGCCAAATAAAGAAATATTTGGCGAAGTTGCCTTCAGTCAGCGTAATTCTTCCATTCTACAACGAGCACTTGGGTGTCCTTATGCGCGCCGTACACAGCGTGGTAAATCGTTCGCCTCCTGAATTGCTGAAGGAAATAATTTTAGTAGACGATTTTAGTGATCGCGAGTACTTATTCCAACAAATCGAGCAATATGTGTCTGAAAACTTTCCTAAAGTACAAATAGTGCGCTTGAAACAACGTACTGGACTGATTGGTGCAAGAATGGCTGGTGCGCGCCGAGCCACAGCCGAAGTACTGATATTTTTGGATTCACATATTGAAGCTAACTACAATTGGCTGCCACCGCTATTGGAGCCAATAGCAATAAATAAACGAGTTTCGGTTTGCCCGTTTATCGACGTTATCGATCATAGTAATTTTGAGTATAGAGCACAAGACGAAGGCGCTCGTGGCGCATTTGATTGGGAGTTTTATTACAAACGCTTACCGTTATTGCCGGAAGATTTGGAAGACAGAACTAAACCATTTAAGAGTCCAGTTATGGCAGGTGGATTATTTGCTATATCAAGTGATTTTTTCTGGGAGTTGGGTGGCTACGATGAGGGTCTCGATATTTGGGGAGGCGAACAATACGAACTGAGTTTCAAGATTTGGATGTGTGGTGGAGAGCTTGTGGATGCGCCTTGCTCGAGAGTTGGACATATCTA